ATGAATATATGTTGTAAGAACTTTAGTTGTGAGCATCTCTAAAGCCTTTTAAAATATCTATAGAACTGATGTAATGCTTTTGAAAAGGTACTGCAGAGTATTTTTGTCATGTTAAATGAGATGATTGGTAACTAGTGTCCAAACTTGGGAGATCATGTTGTGCTAAATTCAGTAAAATAAGGGTTTAAACTCGGGGGATGACTCTTGGGAATATAGACGTGTGTCTTAAGTCAGAAAGATGATGGATGGAGTGTCTGGACTCCTGTTACAGTGCTCTTAAGATCATTGAATTTTTCAAAAGTTGCAGTAAATCAAGGGTTTTGACATGGGATTGAAAACACATGTTAAACGGTATGCTTTATTTCTACAGACTTTAGCTTCTCTGACTAAGACCCACAGCAAACAGGTGTATTACATCTCTGTGAGTAAAATGAAATGCTTGCTTTTCTCTTCTTTTGTACCTTCAGTATGTTTTTGATGTTTCATGGCACTATGTTGGTTTGCATAAATCCAGATAAGTCTTTCCTCTCTGTAATAGGGTCTTCCCCTCATGCAGACAGGAAAAACCAACTATGGGACCCCAAAGCCCTCTTTCAGGGAACAGTCAGGGGGTCTGTCTAAATGACAGGAGCAGAGATTTAACAGGTACTGTTTTCAAGTACCCTACAAACCTCAGGGCGACCCTAGAGGCAGGCTGGCTCGAGGAAATAGTGGAAATCATCACTGCTATGGAGAATGAGGAATCTAGGACTCTGCAATGACTAACTCAGTCTGGGCCTACTCTCAGCGTCAAGGAAAAACCTGGAAACCAGGATTTCTCCCAGCCCTGAAGAAGGGATGGGATGGATTCCTTTCTGCCAGGACATCTCTGTGGAAAATGAGGCCCAAAGCTACATCCAGTTCGTTGCGGGACATCTTATGGCCAGGCCTGGGTAACCCTGACGTGCCAGTTAAGATTAATGCCACTTTTGGTTTGTCTCCTGTCTTTAGTCGATCCCCAGGACTTCTCAGTAAATAATGGGGTATCCCAAAAGGAGAGTTCTCTAATCTTACTGTGTTTATGCAAAAGAACAAGCCAGGTTTGTTAAACTATCTTGCAAAGTTTTAAAATGAAGGTGGAGAGAAAACCATGTTTCTGCAACTAGTTTTTTGTAAGAACCAGATTCTAATTCTACAGAGGTGATTGAATAAATGTATTTAATATTGATCTAAAAGGTACTTCCTCTTTTGGGAAATTTAGATAAAACTTGGTTTACTGACTGTAGGAAAACAGCCTAATCTATAAAGGAACTCAATGTTATACATGCTGTCACTAGTCTGATCAGAGCATTGGAAGCCAGAGCTTTACTAGGGTGAAGCTCATCTCAAAGTGCAGAATTGCTTTCCCCCAGTTTGTGAATTGGCCAAAGTGTCAAGAAAGGGCATCTAAACTGGTTAAATTAGAATGGATTAATATCTAGTCTAAAGTACTGTGAATTTTCTTTCTATAATTTCTGTATTGCTTCTCATTTTCTGTGAACAGTCATTTGAAGAGAACAAGGATATTAACAGTTCTTAATTTCTGTTACATCATGGAATTAACACCAGAGAATATTTCCTCTAAGCCAGAATGCTCTGCAGAAGAGGAACCATGGACATTGGAGGTTTCCAAAAGGAAGTTGATGGATTTACCCAACAAGGAAAGTTACTAACACCTGGACCTATGCAATGGAATATTATTAAAGGGTTATGCTTTAACACCAGTGAAAATCATCTTCCATGGAAAGGAACTGAATAGCAAGTAAGGTAGAAGTAATTCAGAACTGTGCTTTCTGTGCCATTAATGAACCTAGAGGAAATCCTGAGCCTCCTCTCCTAACACCTGTTCAGCATCAAGGAACTTAGAGGAGGATCAGCAGCTTGACCTTATGCAGATGATCAAATGCTCATACATTCAAGCTATAAATACCTGTTGGTTCTCATTGAGAGCTTCAGTGTATGGGCAGAAGCTTTTCCTATCTGTACTGAGAAAGCCAGAGAATGGCTTGGTGTTTCTGTGTCCAGTAGAAATATCTGGACACAGGAAGTCATTTTTCTTTCAACCAAACCTGCGGGTAGAGTTATTCCTTTCCATTATTTTAATGATAGATATGGGTATGGCATTATGTCGCTTTGGTTTCTGTTGCTTTAACTCTTTGTTTTTTAAGACAGCAAACAAAATTGTCCTTGCTGGGTCAGAAAGGACCTTCTACTACTCAGGGTCTAACCATTTCAAAGTGATATCCCTCAGTCTAATCGAACTGATTTTTTCTTTCAGATAACTTCAGGAACCCAACCAATTCATTGCTGAGGGCCACTAAAAGCTGAGGTAGTATGAGATTTCACCCCTTGTGTAGGCAGGGCCAGCGTCCCATTGTCAGCATGAAGCAGCTCCAGAAGATGGACCTTCTGCCATTCTCCCTTAAAGATTTAAGGTGGTGGAATCTCTAGGGGGGATTTGATGTAGGCAGGTAGATAGGGAAAGGCTCTCTGCAATGAAACAAAGTCTCATAGAAGAATTCTAGGACCAACCCACCCTGTGGAGACAGAGAATAAGGACTTGATAAGACCATCCCCAGACCCTGAAGATATGGGCCTCCTCCCCATGAAATTCTTCCTTTCCGAGAACCCCCCTTTCTATCCGGTTGACTCCAGCGACCCAGCCCCAAGGAGATTCCAGGACATTCCAAGTCAGATGATTCTCGAACCCCCTTTCAATCCGGTTGACTCCAGTGACCCAGCCCCAAGGAGATTCCAGAACATTCCGAGTCAGAAGGGTCTATAAGAACCAGCTCGAGAGCCCACTTGGCGCTCTCTCCACCCTCGGAGAAGCCCGCGTTCCCTCTGGACGTGTTACTCTCTCTCTCTCTTACTCTCCATTCCCCCGCTTATCTGCTTATCCCTTTCTCTCCCTCTCCAAAAGCCTCCAAATAAAACCTGTTACTTCACTACTCGTCTACTCCTGAAATTCTTTTCTGCGAGCGAGACAAGAACCCCAGAAACCTCGGGTAAGGCTTGGGACTGGTCTCTCCTTTCCTGCAAAGAGCAAATTCTCGCCCCAGCTTGAGTCCGTGGCTCCCCCAGCAATCGGGTGGCAGGGATTAACTCCTGTGCCGAGAAGATCAAGCGGACTTCAGGTCTGGCTTGACGGCCACCTCGTGGGGCTGGCGGGGCTCAGGCCCGTGCCGAGCAGGTGCTCACTGCAGACTTTACCAGTCCTAGCCCACCCAGGGTCCCGGGTGGCAGAGGCGGGTGGGGAGAAAGTGATTGTCTTTCTCCTCCCCACTTCACATAAGTCACCCGTGGGGCCCACCGACATCAAACCCAGGAGTAATCCCTGATCATCTCCGGTTGTGATCCAAAAAGAAAAAAAAAAGAAAAAAAGGACCAATTATTTACAGGTTAACATACACATCAAGTCCAAGTGCTGGGACACTGGCATAGGAAATAGTAATCATTTCTATTATTATTATGGTTTGCTATATAAGGTAACTCAGGAGGTTAATTCAGGTTCACCAGAACTCAGGCCTCATAGGCGTATGAAAATACACAGTGACAAGAAGTCTTAAGAGTGTACAGAATGGGAAGATCTTTGTGTTTCCCTGAATTGCAATCATCAGCAATTCCCTTTCCCTCATAGTACTTAAGTCACAAGTTTAATTTGAACTTGAGAAATGTAATATGAAGAATGACATAGGAGTGTATATTTAAGAGATCAAAAGGTTGAAACTGAGTGTTTGCCATAGGATCCCCCAAGCACCACACTCCCAGAGTAATTCCTGAGTGCATATTCAGGAGAAACCCCTGAGTATCACCCAGGTGGGACACAAAAAATGAAAAAAAAATCAAAGGACAAGCCATGAAGAACCCAGAGATAATGGATGCATTGCGTATCTGACCCAAGGCCTAGCGGAGATTAAATGATGTATTCAAGGTAAATTGAAATTCAGATTTTGGGAATTTCTGGGCGTTTGTCTTGCAGGGGATGACCTGGTTATGATCCCTTCCCCTCCCAGGCCCACCTGCAGTGATCCTGCCTGTGGAGCCAGAAGTAACTCCTGGGCGTTTCAGGTTGTGCATTACCTCCCCCCCCCTACAAAAAAGTACTTGTTTTGTGTATTGAACAGAAAGTGCTATGTCAGGAGCATCAGGTTTATGAATGACAGATGTGAGTGATTTCAATGATCCCTGTGATCAAGGCTTTCTCTGTCTGTAGATGTTTTTTTGGGCTCACCTCCAGTACCACAGGGTCTCTGGTACCACTGGGAGTAGTTACTGTAAGGTTCCTAGGGACCCTGAGGGAGATTCCAGAGTTAAAACTCTACAAATTAGTAACTCTCCCTTTCCTGCCCCCTCCCTAGCAGAGCTTTAGAGTGAAACCATTCCTTATTGGAATGCAAATTCTGAAACCATTTGTTGACTGTTTCCTGTTGGGATGTAAATTCAGGAACCATTTGTTGGGCCTTCCTTATCTATTACCTCTCTTAGGAACTTTATCCACCTCCACTGGAATGCAGGGCTGAGAATCAAAGGAAGCCAGGTGATAACCAAATGTCCCAGTTACCAGATGCCCACTAGCCACAGTGCCTATGTACTTAAACCCTGATCTTTGAATCTTTAGGCTAAGGAGTGATGTACTTTTAAATGGATTGGTTAAGAAAGTATATGTTGCTACAAATCTATTGGCTATGAAATGCACAGGCTTTGCTGTAATGGCCAGTGAAGGCCTATATAAGATCACCTTTGAAGAAGTTTGGGGTTTTGCCTCACCTAACTGACCTGCTTGTCTGTGTAGGTGGCTTGACCCTGGCTAGCCAGTCTTACAATAAAACATGCTTGATGTTTGCAGTCTCTGGAGTCTCTTTGTCCTTAAAGGGAGATCACGATCCGCGCCCTAACACTCCCAACTGTCCCACCTGGAGACTGGCCAGTAGCCTGGGGAAGGTCCCTCCGCTCCCCCCATCTTTTCTCTGGTCCATTACCTGGACCAGGTTGGTCTTCCTCACGTGGTCCCAGGTTTCGATGCTCACGACCTTCACATCCATGTCCACCTGACCGGTCTCCAGGGGGATGAGCATATAGGGAACCGTCTTGGACGCCCTGCACAGAGCTTCCTTGTGGGGGAATTCCACTCTGACCTGGGCACAGGGGCGGGGTGGTGGTTGGGGTTCGTGTCCATCCTCCCTGCTTCCCTGAGGATCCCCAGAGCAAAGATACTTCTTCGTGCTGTGTGACCTCAGGGAAGCTGCTGCACCTCCCTGGGCCTTCATTTTCTCCTCTCTACATGTGTCATTGCAGGGACTGGGAGATAATACAGGAGTGGGGTTTCAAGCTTGGTATGTGTTGGTTCAATCCCCAGCACCACACAGAGACTCAAATCCCCAGAAATGGCTGAGTCCTCTAAAGGCCCTTTTGGGTGTCTGCCCAGGGTGGCCCAGGTGACCTCCAGTACTTCATCCTCGAGACCTTGCAATGAACTGCCACCCAGTTGGCCAGGAATTGCCAGTGGGGACCCCGGTCGACTTCTTGAGCACTGCTGTTGCCCTCCCAACAGAAAGCATCATGGTCGCCCTCTCTCCTCCACTTGGGTGCTTGGGAGGGAAGCAAAGGAGAAAACATCATCGAAAAAACAGCTTTGCCAATGAGTTCGGTGGTTTCCAGCTCCTTAGCACTCTCCGACTTTAATTTTTTAGTAAATTTTTTTCTTTGCTTTTTGGGTCACATCCAGCAATGCACAGAGTTACTCCTGACTCCGGGCTCAGGAATTTCTCCTGACAGTGCTCAAAGGACCATATGGGATGCTGGGAATTGAATCTGGGTTGGCTGCATGCAAGGCAATCACCCTACCTGCTGTGCTATCGCTCCATCCCCAAAAGTTCTGCCTTGAGGATCAGAGAGATAGGTTAGAGGGTAGGAAACCATCCCTAGCACCCCAGAGGATCCTAGGGCCTCACCAGTAGTGATCTCCGAGCACAGAACCAGAGGGAAGCTCTGAGCACCGCTGCATGTGGCTCCAAACTAAGTAATAATAAGATAAAAGCTTGGGTCTGAGTAGATGCTCAAAGGGCTGAAGCACATTTTGCATGTCAGAGCCCCGGGTTCAGCCCCTGGTACCACATGGTCCCCTGAGTCCTACCAAGGGCAACCCTTGGGGCTGGAGCAATAGCACAGCGGGTAGGGTGTTTGCCTTGCACGCAGCTGACTCCGCTTCGATTTCCAGTATCCCATATGGTCCCCTGACCACCGCCAGGAGTGATTACTGAGTGCAGAGTCAGATGTAACACATGAGCATTGCCGGGTGTGACCCAAAAAGAAAAAAAAAATCCAGACCCTACAAAGGTCAACCCTTTAGCACCAAGTCAGGAAGAATCACCTGTATCTGGGAATAACCCTAAAACCAAATAGGAATTTGAATAATAATCATAATAATAAAAGGAGAAGATATGCCAAGGCCAAAAATAAAAAAGAGCAGGTCAGGGGGCTTGCTTGCTCTTCCGAGCCTGTTCTCTCCACATTTTCCCATGAACCCAGATCTCTCCCTCTTTCTCTCCTGGGCATGTTCTGTCCTGGGGCCACACTGGGTGTGTGTGTGCTTAGGGCTTCTTTCTGGCTCTGCAATCAGGGATTATTACTCTTAGCATTGCTGGGAAACCATGCGGGATGCCGGGGATCAAACCCAGGTTGCCAGAGGCAAGGCAAATGCCCTCCCTGCTACAGCATCCTTGAACTGAGGCAGAATCCCAGATGATGAGGGAGTTGAACGTGGGGACCCTCCCACCAGCACCGTGGGGTCTCAGCTGGGCAGGGCGGCAGGAGTGCCAGAATGAGACCTCTCTTTGCATCTTCCCACTGATTTGTGCCTCTTTTCCTGGGGCTCAATTCTCCCTGGGAGCCCCCAACAGGGAGGATAAAGAGAGGATTCAGCCCTTGTTCTTGGGGGGCCTTTGCACTCTGGGAACGCTCATGAGTGAGGGCTCCCATGAGCTTGCGTGATCGTGAACCTGTTTATGTTTTAGGGCCCTAGGGGGCTACCGGGTGATCTCAGAGCCTCGGGAGACCCCAGCGTGCCAGTGATTATGGCCTCGACTCCACATTCAGTGTTGTCCCGATTTCTGAATGAGGGGCAGTGGGAGACTGGTATAGGTGAGCAGGAGAACAGAATAAAGAGCAACAGATCACTGAGAGTTCACAAAGTAAAATGTGCGGGTGTTGTGAAGCATTGGCGGTCCAGAGCCACCTCCTCACTTCCCCAGGCTTTTCCAACAGAGAGAGAGAGAAAGAGAGATGGGGAACCACAGACTGATGGTGAAAATGGCCCATTTAATGCAGAACAGCTACCATACTTATAGAACATCTGAAGGTGGAGGTTAAGGTAAGGACATAGGTGTGGCTGGTAAATATGTACTGTTGGCTGGGCCAGAGCGATAGCACAGTGGACAGGACATTTGTCTTGCAGCTGATCCAGATTCAATCCCAGCATCCTTTATGGTCCACCAAGCACTGCCAGGAGTAGTTCCTTAGTGAAGAGACAGGAGTAACCTCTGAGCATCACTGGGTGTGACCCAAAAAGGAAAAAAAAAAGAGTGTAATGCAAGTGGAATAGGCTCACATAAAGGAGTGAAAAGGTGGTGGCTAGAGTGATCGGTCACAAAGTAGGGGTCTGGAGGAAGGAGAAGTTCCCCAATCCAGTATTTGCAGTGACTCTGTAGCCAGCCCTGGAGATGCAGAGACCAACTGATCTAGTAACAACCCTGAGAGCTGGAGAGACACTGGAACAGGAGCAAAGGCTTCTACCCCTTAACAAAACAAGAGCAGTGGACACTTGTCTACAAGGAAAACCCTAGGAGGTAGTTTCAGAAACAAGATTTCAAACCAAGAGTATGTGGCCAGGGGCTAGAATGAGATAGCATATTAGGTAGGGCGCTTTTTCTTGCATGCAGCTGACTTGGGTTCGATTCCCAGCATGCCACATGGTACCCTGAGCACTACCAGGATTAATTCCTGATTGCAGAGCCAGGAGTAACCGGTTGTGACCCCCAAAAGAAAAAAAAAAGAGTACGTGGCCAGAAGGATAGTGCAGTGGATTGAGCACCTGCCTTGAACTCGTTCAACCTGAGTTCAGTCCCTGACATCCCCAATGGTGGCATGGGAACCATGAGGAGTAACTCTTAAGAACTGTCAGGTTTCCCCCAAAACAAAAGTATATAAAACACAGCATATTAACCAACCCCCAGAAAGGAGGGGCTAACAGGCAGCAAACCACACTGGTCACTCTGCATCCTGGCGTGGCCTTTTGCACTTATCTACATGGTGTTTACCATTCTGGTAAATATTACATTATTAGGATTTTAATGCTTCCAAAGTAAAAATCTCAAAACATTTATACTCAATGGGTGTGTAAATCGAATGGAAACCTGAATACAAGGAATGCAGATATGCTACAGCAAGTAAAGAGATTCCTTGCACGTGGCTAACCTGGACACCAAATATAGACAGCACAGCGGGATGTGGCTCCCCAAAATATAACTCAAAAGGGCCTGAAGATCGGAGATTTGACTATATAACCGAAGTCAAAAATTTCTCCACAGGATCGTAGTTAATCTCTACCATGATCCCTGCAAACCAGGGTCTCTGGGCCAAGCCAGAATCACAGCAACAAATAAAACCAAGGTGAGCCTTGACAGTACCCAGCAAAATGCAATTTTTGTATCTATTTATTTATTTATTTTGCTTTTGGGGTCACACCTGGCGACGCACAGGGGTTACTCTTGGCTCTGCACTCAGGAATTACCCTTGGTAGTGCTCAGGGTACCATATGGGATGCTGGGAATTGGACCCGGGTTGGCCACGTGCAAGGTAAACTCTCTACCCACTGCGCTATTACTCCAGCCCACAACTACTTTTTCCCTAATTTTTATTAGTGAAACACCATGAGGTACAGTTGTAGACTTACAAATTTTTGTGCCTGGGTTTCAGTTATACGATGATCGAGTATACATTGCCCATTCTCCACCACCACTAATCTCAGTATCCCTCCCACCCCGCCACCCCCCATCCTACCCTGCCTCTGTGGTAGGGCATTCCCTTTTCTCTCTCTCCTTTTGGGTGTTGACGTTTGCAAAAGAGGCATTGAGTGGCAATCATGTTCAGTCTAGTGTCTACTCTCAGCATGCATCTCTCATCCTCTAGCCCCCACGTATTTACGTTTTATTTAATTCCTTCCACCTCGGTTTATCACTAAGATTAATTATTTACCAGTTCACATATTGTGAAGGCCAAATGCCAGGACATTGTCATAGCCTCGGTCCAGGTGATAATCAGCAAGTACCTTTCCCTTATGGTACTAATGTCACAGGAAGCTTTCACACGCACCAGGATTATTTCCTTCCGGACTGTACTTTTGTAGCAATCCCCCACCCACTTGTCGAAACTAAAATTGTTTTACCTAAGGGACATGTTGTGACCCAGGCCATTGTTATTAGGGAATTGATAATTTACTAAGGCTTGAGGGGAACACAAAAGCCTTCCTATATTCCTTACTCACAGGATTTTTTGCAGTATTAATTCTCTTATATACCTTTAGAGGCTGCAGGTGCGAATGATGGACTTCCCATGTTCTTACATGTATATGTGTGTGTGTGTGTGTATATATATGTGTGTGTGTGTGTGTGTGTGTGTGTGTATAGTTTCTCCCCAGTGTGTGTATATATATATATATATAGTTTCTCCCCAGTGTGAATTCTCCTATGCACAGTAAGGCCTGCAGATACAGTAAAGGCTTTTCCTTTCCGCACTCCTGGCATATATGAGGTTTCACTCTAAAATGACTTTTCATATGTGTAGTAAGGGCTAAAGGACAAACTGATTACTTTCCTACATTCCTTAAACTTATGAGGTTTCTCTTCAGTGTGAATTTTACTGTTCAGAAAGTTATGCTAATTGCATGAAAATCTTCCTGCAGTCCTTACATACGTAAGGCCTCAACCCTGGAAAAATGTTTTTTACGCAAAGAAAAGTGTGTGAATTGAGTTAAGATCTTCCCACTCCCTAATATACGTTTTTTTCGAGTATGAGTTTT